TCTTTTCTCAAGCAATAGATGAATTTTTTCTGCAGCCTTTGAGCAGCAACTTGGAGGGAGGAACCCCTATAGAGTTCCAAGGAGGCCGATCCCCTAAAGAGATCAACCCCAAGTTTAGAATCTGCAAGGGTTCTAACATACAGCAAATGAAAAAAGCCATCATTGATTTTTAGAAGTTAGTATCCTACTTATGATTGGCATTACATATATGCCCAAGCATCCACTTAAAAATACATATCAATGTACCAATTTAGCTTGTGGATGTGCTTCATGATTGATAAAAATTTTAATCTGGTTATTAACATTGAATATTTTAACAGGGAGATGTACAAAATTTTAGATCTCTTATTCTGATTTCTCATACTAAGCTAAGTATGAATATAACCAACTAATATAAAAAACTTCTCAGATGTGACATGATCTAGTGATTTATTTTCTTACAGGTTTAACCTATTATATCATCTTCATATCAAGCAGGAAAGGTAACTTACTAATGAATTATATCAACTTTGAATACCAAAAAGAAAAAGGAAGTGAACAAGCCTTGTAGATCATGTTGCCATGGAATAAAGCAATCTGAACTTGCTAGGTCATACATATCAGAAATCAGGTGAAATACAGTGAAGTTGGCCACAAAACTATATATATTCTGGCTCCCTGCAGCATGTTGCCTTCCATTGAGCTATGCTGATGAAATGAAAAATTACTGTCCACAGGCTGCAATTCAAGAAGTTGTTTTTATATTTTCAGATAATGGGAAGTTCAAAGGGGCTACAGTCCAACATCTACCAAGTGCCATGTTCCACCGTACCAATGCTCATCTCTGCTAGACTGGAGATTCAGTGAGATGAATAATGAATTTCCAACAAGCACATAAATTACATACCATATTTGTCATGACTCAAGCCTAGGAATCATATGCATCGAGCTTTAAAAAAAAAAACTTAAAAGTTGTTTTTTGACGATGAGAAGTGACCCGTATAGACGTATAGAACATAAGTCTTAGCGTACATCCAATGTTGGACTAATGAGATCAGGATTGTGTCTTTTGTGTTTGCATGACTGAGTTTATTTCTTGTGCTATGTGGTGACTGGAATCAAGACGATCCAAGTAATTACACATATAACTTGCATGAGGGAGCCATGATGGTGATGGAGCTTCAAAGCAAATGCAGAGCATGAAGCAGTCATGATCATGATGAAAGCTTCATATTTAATTGGGTGGTGATTGGATAGTGTCATAAGCAGACGGTCCAACATGAAAATATTTGGAGGATGGTACAGAGGGATATAGAATGTGAGAGTTCACATCAAAACAAAACAATAAAAGAATGGAGCTTAGGTCTAGTGGCAGCATTGACCATTAATATAAATCTTAAGCCCACTACCAGTCTCAAATGCTGCTCTTAATCGATACAGGAATGCACTTGATCCTGCTTTCCATTACTATGTAAAACTCTTCCTCCTGCAACCATTTAGCACAAGGATCATTTTGTTCCCTCTTTTCATTTCTAGATGCCTTGCTCATGCAAGCCTGGTACAAGAAAGTGGACCAGCCATTGAGGTATTGAGCAAGGAAAAGATGGGATTTTTCAAGATTTAGTTAACATCAGCAGACTGATAAATTGATTGAAAAAGCAAAGGACATGTCTAATTTGCATTGGCCACATATTCAAGATTTACACGATCGAACGAACATCAATTATTATAGAAAAGTAGAACAGAATGATATGCAAGGGAAAGGAAAAAGAAGAGAACATACAGAAAGCAAGCAAGGGAACGTTTATAGAAAAAAGTGGGATTGTTTGCTTCCACTACACTTAGGTGAGCCTTTGCAAGGCTGGGATTGTTTTCTTCCACTACACTTAGGACTGCTATAGACAAAAGTGGCAATTCATATTCTCTGAGGAAAGAAGGAAAGAGGATTGATTATTTGCATAATCCGTCTGCATTACTGAATTTGCTCCCATCATTTTGTTCGGAAAACAAAATCCAAAGCCTCTTAGCATCCATTTTCTTGTGCATTTCGCTGGAGGTTGCTAATTTGATTGCACCACTTAATGACAATGCCTAATGATAAAGCTTTAATTACTCGAAGGTGAAGGAGAGGGTGGCCTTACCGTCTCTGGAATCGGTGGCGGCTTGTGTGAGCTGCATCAACGAGTAGACCTCGAAGGCGTTGATGATGGGCGGGTGGGTGGAGTTGCTCGTCGGGTGGAGCAAGTATTGGTACCGAGAATAGCCTTTGAATGGCACGACGCTGTATATGTAACCAATCGAGAGATAAGGCGGGGTATACCAACTAAACCTGGACTCGCCATTCCGGGTGACGTTGAACATCCTCGTCGCCTTGCCCGTCAAGTTCCGGAGTTCGGCGAAGTAGAGGACGGCGTACAGCTCGTCGCGGGGGGAGACAGAGTCCCAGAAGAAGCCCAGCTGCCGGATTCCTTTCGGAGTCACCGCGGTCTGCATAACAGCGACCGGCGGCTCGAACAAATCGTCCCTGTTGTCCACCCTCGAGTTGGTGGACAAGGTGAGCAAGGAGGGATCGTTGTAGGGGTTCCAAACGCGATCGTAAGGGTCGTCCGGGAACCTGTTCGTGATGTCATGCGTATGAGTACTTCCTGCTAAGTTATGGGAACTGAGAACGTCAATCATGCTCGCTATGGCAGGAGGTCATTAGTCCTTGTACATCGAAAATCTAAGAAATCTCTTGCTGATACCGATCCCCGCTTCTCCAGAGATGTTGATGGCAAGAACTAGCATTTAGCTAGGCATCAGCCGCCACCTTGTACCATCTACCATGTTGATGGCAGAGTCAACGCTTTGAATTATATGGACTTGGTCAAGACAAATAATTGATTTCTTGCAATGGAAGCTGGGAGGAAGACCAATTCCTCGAAGGACAGACAGACAATGAGGTTGTGACAGCTTATGGAGTATGTCTGCAAACATAGGTTTCGGAAGAATATACTCGAAAAGATACTAGCTTTTCACGGCATGGATGAATCAAACACAGGAAGGATTAAAGCTCTGTATGTTTTCATTTACCTCAGTGACTTTGTTGCTCCGAAGTTGCGCCGAGTGACGAGAACCACAGACTGCGAAGCATTCACGTATTCCCCGTAAAGACCGTTCCTGAGTGGCCTCAGCTCCAAGGAAGATATAAATGGAGTTCCACCTCCGGTATTGACCAAACAAACTGATGTGGAATTGGCAGTAGCAAGACTCAGAGCCTCGGCCGTATAGATAGCAGATGGATCGGAGATGGTCATCGTCTTCCAATGATCTACTCCGATGTGAAGGTCAAATTGTATTTGGCTATTCTTGCCGTCGTAGTTTCCGTACATGAAAGTTGCTCTGACAAGATACGTAGTGTTCTGAGGCACAGGCTTTAAGGTGTAGCAATTCCGGAGTCGATCCGGAAAGCTTCTGAGATTGAGTTGTAGCGTTGGAACAGAGGAGTTTATGTAGTTTGATTGGATGTAGAAATCTGATCCCACATCGATGAATCGGTCATCGGAGACGTATGGTACTTGGGTAACGGTGTCGAAATAACTAGAGTTGGAGTTCCCGCAGTCGATGCTGATGAAGCCTGCAAAAGAAGATAAAAGGCGATTTGCAGCCGGTAAAGTTTGAAGCCACGAGCAAAGCTTTTATATCGAATGTTTTCGATTTAAGATTTCGGATATATTCGACTCGTCGTACATTGGATTAGGAGCGAAAGAGGCATTGTAAGAAAAATGATATCGTCCTATCCCACCAAGAAACATCAGAAGGAGTAGAACTTCACCATGAGATGCATATGATCACTGGTGAGGAGATGAAAGAGAAGGAAGACGAGAAGATTTAGAAAGCAGCAGTTGCTCACCCCGAGTATTAGGCTGGGCGATCGCTGGAGCTGTGATTACCGAGAGAAGAAGAAAGAAGCCAAACACCATCTCTTCGGCTCCGCAGCAGCTATCTCTTCGCCGAACCTGACATGATCAGAGACGGTGTTATAAAAGTACACGGGGACGACTTCACGGATCAGGTCGACCCTGTTAGAGGTTGGATGTATTGCGCACAGGGGCTGTTTCCTGGTTCAACGCGGCCAATTATTATTGGGCAGAGACATGGTCGTAAGGTAGACAGGCAACGATCAAGATCCAGGAAAAGAGTGTGGTACAGGCAACGAACGAAAAGATGACTCTCCATTTTGACCTTGAAGTGTTCAAGATGACTCGACTCGCTCGTTCACGACGGAACTCAAAGAACGAAATGAAAAAACCATTTAAAAAAGAATCGCGTGCAAGCAAACCTTTTCTCTTTTTTTTTTTGGATAATGTTTTCCAATCCGCCAAAAGGTAATCTTTCATCCAACAAAATCTGATCGCAAGCCACCTTCTAATTATGTTATACTAAGTGGCAATTCAACAATTTTCCTACAGTTTCTTGCTGACACAAAACTTCACCATACACAAATGTGGCACAGTAGACGGAGACTGTGCAGAGACCAAACTTATTACATGATATATTGATGTTCTAATCCATTTCAGATTACAGCATATTGTTTCATTATTGCCGAAAAGAGATACAGTAGTGCATAGATTACACAACACCAAGTTCTATATTTATTCCGCAGCAGAAATCCCCAAGAGGAACATCCTATTTTGCGGCAGTACGAGTGCCAATGACAGTTACATGCACTACATCTTACCTTAATGCGCACAGCATACACGAACAGAGATAACCACGATAAGTTTCATCTGATAGAAGGAACAGTTGGTCCCAGCAAGCTCGCCCCCATCTCGGACGAAATTTCTCGGCTCATGTTAAATCCTTCAATATATATGATATCGTTACTGTTAGAGGCAATCTCCGGCTTCAAGCAGCCCTTCAGCTGCGTCACTACTTCAAACATCGTCGGCCTCTGGCTGCCCGGATCTGCGGTGCACCTGAGAGCTAGATCCAGGATCTTCCACGCAGAAGTGGCATCATATTCTCCTTGCAGAGTTTCATCCATGATTTCTTCTATGCAACCCCGAGACAGACTTGTGGCAATCAACTTAATAATGTGAACATTTCCTGGACTGGGCACGATCGGAGGTCTGCCGGTGATCAGCTCCAGGAGAACTACACCAAAGCTGTACACATCACTCTTCTCGGTGAGCTGGTAGTTTTGATGGTACCTAATGAAACATAAACATGATACTCATTGGTCAGTTGTAATCCATAATGTATTAGTTATCCTCTATGTCCGAGTACACTAATTCATAATAAATGTCTGCCTTTCGGCAACTAAAGGTTCAAACACTCCAAGAAGAGAATCAAATTGCCATCTTGGTTAACCAGAAAAATGGAGATCCAGTTCAAGGCCAAGGAGTAGTAATTTGAAGTTATGGCAAGGAAATGAATCCTACTATGTTGCTTTGGCAATTGAACTGACTATTCCTCAAACTTGCAAACTGGACCTGGGAATTAAAACATGGCAGCTCAGGAAGTCATAGATCAAGAATTCTGCTATCTGACATTCAAAGATCTCCACATATCCATGTTGATCATAGGGTTTGAAATATTAAATTTGAGAAAAAAACCTATTTAATTCAAACCAAATACTGATGTCTCATCCAAGTCCAATAGGTCTGCTGCATCAAGTCAAACTAGTATCATAGTATATCTACAATTACGAATGTATAACATAGACCAATTTTATAGGGTAACCACTAAAACTTTAGCATGAAGTATATTGGGTTACACAGTTAAAGTTTAATTCCCTTTAGATCACTATACCAGTGGGCCTATGAGATTGGGTGGTGACAGGAAGACATACTGAGGTAAATGAATTCATTTGCCGTCTTATTTTTCTGCACACTGTCGCTTCTACACTGAGATATATGAATAAATTGTTTATAAAGAATTTAGAGTGGGGTAAAAAGAGTGTAGAAAACATACTCGGGATCAATATATCCAGGGGTGCCAACCACTGTCCCTGTGGACACATGGGTTTGCTCATCGCTATGGAAAGATTTGGATAACCCAAAGTCCCCTATTCTAGCCTCTAGTTCTTCGCTCAAGAGAATGTTGCTGCTCTTGACATCTCTATGGATTATTGGAGGCTTGCATCCTTTGTGCAAATAATCCAGCCCTGTCGTATAAAATAGAGATTAAGTAATTATACCAAACGCAAGTACACAGACAAAAGATTCTCCAAAACCTTGTGCAGCATCCAGTGCAATTTGAAGCCGCTGTCCCCAACTCAAGACTTTGGCACAACCAGCCTTATCTGTGATGATTATAAGTTAGAAAACCCATGGAGACAAATTAACAAAATATCAATAGGAAATATTTGTGGAGAAGTTACTTCTTAAACTCATAGTTACTTGCTGCATAATTTCTTAGATACCTCCCTCAACTAATGGGTTTCAAGCAACGAGCCAAGAGATATATTAATCTTCAATGCTCTGATATACCCTATGTCCCTATCAGCCCCTTTAAAAAATGATTCCAAGCATTTTACCCCTTCCTAATCAGGAAAAGTTGAACATTTGGCTTAAAATTGAACTTTGTAATGATCCTCCAAGTCCCTAAACTTCTTTCTCAATCATTGTGCATATGAAAATAATTTACATTAATCATTTAACAGGAAAGCATGAAGCCTCTGGAGAATTAAATCATGTCCTTTACAATTCAAAATTGATCTTAAAGAATAGTTGTAACAGTGCTCATGTTCAGTATCACTAAACCTCGTAGATGGTCTTGGAGGCTTCCTTGCTTCATGTATTCGTAAACAAGCGCTAGGCAATTCCCATCCATGCAATAACCAACCAGAGAAACCAGATTCCTGTGGTAGATCTTCGTCAGGTTCTGGGCCTGCAGAATGAAGTGCAAAATGTTGTCAAGAAATATTCTAAAAAATAAATTGTTATATAGAATAGCTACAAGCTATGTAAGGTAGCATTCTGACGTCAATACCAAGAAATATGTAAGCTGAATTAACCTTCAGCTGTTTAAGAAGAGTGTTTTGGCATCTCATCTTGGTTAGCATCAATACCAACCTTTTCAATTCAGGAGTGTTAAGACTTCATAATTATATTGGCCTTTAAACTAACCACTTAAACTTTTGAGATTTGTAGTAACTTAATCGAAATTTTAGTCATGGTGTAAGAGCATGTTATGAGTTTGAAGCCTGTACTTGCCCCCTCTTTGTTTCATCTCATTCTTTAACTAATATTTGTGAAATTTTTACTCTGTATTTGACTTGGATCATACATTTGGGTTCAATTTTACATGTCAAGTTTAAATCGGGGAGAGGTGAATATTAGACTTCATGAATATATTTGACTCATTACTACCAACTTAAGTATTTCGGGATTTGTGATAATCCAATAAAAAATTTTTATCGAGTAACAATCACACTCAAGTCATCTAATAATCTTATTTCAAAGGTCAAATAAAATTTCTATACCTCAGCCAAAAATTCCTTCATTCCTTGTGGTGATGATACAGAATGCATCTTGATCGCAACTTGCTTTCCAGTTTCCAAGCAACCATGATAAACCATGCCAAAACCTCCTTTCCCGATGACCGTTGTAAACTTATTTGTTATGTTCTCCAACTGTGTGTATGTAAACTGCCTACTCTCAAATGAAATTTGATGCTCTCTCTGCCGAGGGTAGACTACACTATGTGACTGAACAAAGGTATTAGAGGTCCGACCTATCAGAAAAGAACAAGAAGTTGACTATTAGCACTCAATGCAGATTTTGAAAATGATGGTGTGGTACACCAAGCTCATTTTTCCTCTTCAAAGTATTACCTTGCTGCTTTCTGATGTTACATACCACAGCTACCAATATTATCACAAGAAGTAGCAGCCCAGACACTGCTGCGATAATTACAATGATAGCTGTTTTAGACCTTGATGAAGACGCTTTGTTACAGCCATTTTTGTCAAGCCTGACATCATGAATGTTTAAAAAGTATCGTCAGTTGATGTAAGCTCCATATAGGCAGTAGGGTAAAGTCTAGTAGCAATCAACACTTATTCAGTTATTGCATGACATTAGTGATTAGAGCTAGAAGATGGCAAGTGCACAACATTAATCCCGATAACCTTTACTCTAAATTTCACTTTTAGAAAGAGGTTCAAGACGATCTCAGTGGACAGCAAAATCATATAGTGTGTTTAACAACAATCACAATAACAACAAAACATCAAGTCTCAACAATTTGGAGTCGGCTACATGAATCTTTTGCCGTCATTGAGATCTGTCATATAGTGAGTTAAATATATGAAAATAATCTATGCCACCCCAATCATTCTAACAAGCTATATTTCCTACCTAAGAATGATTGGGAAATATAACTAGCCTGTTTGCCAACTAAAATTCCTTCACCTAACATGCAATTCAACTAGCCTTTTTGCCAACACTTTTTCACCAACCAACAAACAGAGAAAGAACACAAGCCTCTTTCAAACTGCTACACTATCTGAAGATCCAAAAATTATAAAAATCTTTTTTTGTCAAAAAAATCTAAAAATCAATCAGCTTTAACCAGCTGTGTGTTTCATGCCAATTTTCGCACATAAAAAAATTGCCAAATCTTGTGCATGAGTATTTCAGTTGGTATTGTTTAATTTTAAAAAATAGTTAAGCATATAAATAACCCATGGTAACATTACCCCCCAAGTAACTCAGTGTTTCAATTACAAGCCTATGGTTTAAAGAATTTGGTAAATGGATTATGATTTTGTCCAGTTGCATATTCTATTGACCATTTGTGCTTCATTGCTCTATTGTTTCTTTATTTCTTTGTAAACTATTATATGCTTACCTTGTCCGTTGGGAATTCACTTTAGTCAATAATAACAAATGAAAAGGATGTCTGGGGTGGTAAGTCAACATATGAACATGATGACCCGTTATTCATTAGCTTAAGCTTTTGCATTGTGGCATCCTCGTGTGTGTATGCGCATGAGCCTTCTTATTGGTAGGAGACTTTGGGTCCAATTCTCCCCCTGACAAGTGGCATTAAAGCTCATATATTGGTTTGTATAGATCAGTGCCAGACTCAAGAGACATAAGAATGTGAAATGGCTAGTGTCTAGTTCATGAGCCAAGTAAGAAGTTGTGTGCTCAGATGTGATTAATTTGCTTGGTGAGATAGGTTTGATTTCTAAGGTGTGATTAATTTGGAAGCCCATAATCCATAACTTGTGGACATCATATGGCTGACCCATACAGGAAACTATGAACAATGTCTCACACATAGTAAATTGATGAGATTGTTGGGTGTTCAGTTTGGCTTCAAGCGTTTGTTGGGTATTCATTTGTGATTAGAAAGATTTACATGTGAAAGATATGAGATTAAGTAAATTCATTGTAGTATCCAATTGTGAGTATGGAAAAGATATCTCATGGAATATATATGAGAATTGCGTAAAAAGGGGGTGGCCTAGTGCATAAAGCTCTAGAAATGCTAGATTTGGGAGGATCAATGTATATACTATATAGTCTTGCCCATATAAGCAAAAAGACTACTGTTGATGTGTGTGTAGTGTGTATGTGAACCTTGCTGATGTTCGCATGGAACCTTCTATTGGCAAGGGAATTTGTGTAAGATTCTTTCCAAGACTCTCATCATGTTCAAATCAACACTCATGTATTCACATCTATATTTTGTGCTTTACACAAGGCAAGCCTTGTTCCTTTCAGGAAGAAATTTGCATAATGGCTTTCCACCAGGTACACAGTTTCCATATATCTCTGGAAGTGACTAATTAGTACAAGGAAGCAACTTAGGTAAGATGAGACCAACGCAGAAATGGAGGAGAGTGGAAGTAAGATTCAGGTACTTTAGTAGTTCCATGACATAGAATGTCTGATATGAATAATCAAAGTGGTATATGATGCTACTGCTTTATAAGAAGAATGGACAACCTATGTGATCACATACAAAAGTACTTCTTGACATGATCTAGAATTCCAGTGAGTTCTGGGAGTGCCATATTATGTTAACACAAGTACCTTTTCACCAAGATATATTTGGAATAGTTTCCGTGGACAAAAGGAATGTAGTCTGGTAGGATGAAAATACAATATTTACTGATACAACCCCTAAAACATACATGAGCTTGATAAAAAAACAAACCTGAGTATAAGTAACCCAGCATCTGACCTTTTGCAGAGTTTCTCAGGAACAGATCCATTGAAATTGTTTCCTGCCAAATTTCTTAAACAATACATTGCTCTTCAATATTCCTATTTTTCATCTATGTTCTGTATAAAAAGTTGAATAACTTACAGAATTTGGAGTGATACAAGATTTTCAAGAGAATCGGGTACTGTTCCTGTTAAATTGTTAAAAGACAAATCTCTGCAATATAACATAAAAAAGAATCAATATTAAGCAGCAAAAGTCCTTGAGAATAAAAAATTAATCCAGTGAATTTGTTTTTTTGTCAAGTGTTTGCTTGAAACAGCATAAACTTTTGACATTAATCTTATATATCAAAAGCCTGCATAAACTCTGATGCAAAACACTTACAGGACAAGGAGAGATGATAAACTGCCTAGAAAATCAGGTATTGTTCCATTAAAGCTGTTGTGAGACAAGTCCCTGGAATTGAAATTATATATTGATCATTTAGTGCATGAACAGCTCGACATAACAACTGTGCTCTCTGTATTACATGAAGTCAACAGTCTACCTTCCAACATTTAAATCATAATTAAAGCAAACTGATGAACAGCAAGTTTTGCTGGATAAAAATATAACACCATTCAGACCCGGTGATTCATATGAAGACATGATTTTCTGTTCATCTAGCATGGAAGACCATGCCTCTTTTTAGCTGTAATATTCTGAGCAATACCAGAAGAAGGCGCTCGTACAGCTCCCATTTGGTTATCCATAGTGTGGTCAAGATATATGATTAATTTGTCTTCAGGCATAATCTTTGAAAGTTTACTATTTTAATATATATAATGGATGGAATTGCAATCAATACAACAACAACAAAACCGTAAGTCCGAACATGGAATTGCAGTCAATACAAGTAAAAAATGCTTGTAGTGCTCTGACATGCAGCATACTTGTACCCATAAAGTGATTGGTGTTGTCAAAGTGTATTTAGTATTTACATCCTTGACAGTAGCTTAAACCATTCATAAAGCGATATGTTCATTAGCACATGAAACTTGTTTTGCATGTAAGAGCTTCTTAACATGTGAACTGCAGTAATTTAGCCTCTAGGTTTAAGTCTTAAATGTACAGATCATATTGAGAACTCCAAGAAGCATTCCAACCTTCTATGTTGAATAATGCCTTTTGTAAAGGGAATAGAGGCAAAAGGTAAGATAAGCTAGTGACCCACAAAAAATGCCTGCAACCATTGAATGACAAGTAAGCACTCTTTGGTGCAGAGTTATTAACTAGCTGATTTATGTTGCAATGTAAGCATAAGCTGTGTGTTGTTTTCTTTGCTTGCATAACTACAGCACTAAAACCATTTCAAGAACACCTGTTATAATGTGGTTCTGCACTATGTTGTGGTCATGCCTGTAAAGCCCCTTATTTCAGCAACTACTTAGAGGATCACTTCCGTTTAGCTCATGCATTGTCTGAGAGATTAAGAACTGGACGAAAATAGATATCATACCTATGTATGTCTTGATGATCATTATACTTTGTTGACCAAGTTACGACTGGAACATCAGTAGAAAAATGTTGTCATCTAAGGTTAGAGAGCCTATGTTGATTTTTATTACCTTACACTAAGATTTTTGCTAGCCTTCCCTTAGAATCGAACAGCAGACACTAAACTGGTATGGACCAGGAGAATTAGTTACTAAGTAAATAAGCGACTGTATATACCTTACTTCCTGCACTGGTGCAAGATTTAAATTTTATAAAGGTAGCATTGATATTGATCAGAGACAGTAACCCATGGCACTTACTGGTATTGGCTCAGATAATTATTTGTTACTGGTTGGTCATGGTGATGCTTTACATTTTGGATCAAATTAAAAAATTTGCTTATGCATTATGCTAATTGTCTTGTTCAACATTGCTGACAGAAATATGATATTAGGAGAAGCAATCTGGGTAATTGACTGAAATATTTCAATAAATTATAACCCAAATTACTTGCTCTAGAAATGAGAACAAAAGAAAGTTGCACTTACAGGTACTTGACAGCTTCAAGCATGGCAAAAGAGATGTATATTTCACCAGTCAATCCTCTGGAAGTCAAATTTCTGCAAAATATTGCAGTTTACAAAACATATTTTGAGTACAAGTTTTAATAATAAACTCAATGATTCCATCAAATGATTTTTTTCTCCCTCTTCTAAGTTTCTTGAACACTTACATATTTGTGATCCTTGGTGGATCAGTATTGTAGCTACAATTCAAGCCATCCCATACGTATTCTTTCGGAGCACATGGATCACCCATCCAATTTCTCTTAAGTTGATAGTGTGATTTGATTGCCATCATGGCGTCAACTGGTATCCAGGAAAATACAAGAATTAACACACATTAGTGTATACTAGGAATATGATTTGTTTAATAGAAAATAGTCACTAACTAAAAAAACCATTTTAATTTGGTATCAGGCGTTCGCAGCCAGTAATGAGATAGAAAAATAGAAGAACAATATATTTTTGAGTTGTAGAAATTAAGATGTTACTTGTGATTGCAGTCACATATTTGACCAAGCATCAATGTAGAATAATAATCTATATATTGGTACCACTTGTGGCTGTGCTGCATAATATTCTCTAATTATTTTCATAGGGAAGTGCTGCAAGTAATTTGTGTCCAATAGCTTCCAAATTTCTTAGATATTTCAAATTGTTAGGCATGGCAAGATTTAGTAATGAATATTCCAGTATTCCTTTTGCTTTTGGACTGGCTACATGCCCAAGTTCAGTTTGTGGAACTTGAATTAAACAGGGAGATATATTAACCAAACGACTCTCTGTTCTGAATTATTATACCACGTTCAAATTAATTATCAGCAACTCATCTTAAAAATTATTTATCAGAAATGACAGGATTTAGTATTTTTATTCTAAAAGCTGTAACTAGTCATATCATTTCCAAATACAGACAAGAAAAAGAACCAAACAAATATTGTAAAGTCATGATTGTGTGGAATGAGAAATCAGAAATAGCTAAACTATCCATATTAAGACACATCGAATTACAGTAAAACTGGCCACAAAAATCTATCTTTTGGTTCTCAGCATGCTCTGATCTGGATAGCTATGCTGTTGGAATGAGAATTTACTACTGCAAGTAAAGATATTCTTATTTAAATTCAAAATAGTATCAATTTCATATTTCAACACTTGAATGGTGTTTGTGGTCAAACTACAACTCGTTTGGTTACTCCATCCTTAGTAGGAACCAGTTTTGCAAAATTTAAGGAAAAAAAAAGGATCGTTCGATCCCTGGAATCTTAGATTCACTGTCCAAAATTTGGATAAGTACATACAGTCAACGAGAGCTATTAGCATACTCACAGTTATTTCCATTTCAAAAAAGAAAATCCAGACTAGGTATGTAGAAAATTATACTGTATGCTTAGCAGATTGAATCTTATGATCCACCAATGGACCAGCATGCTTTGAAGTCTTATTCCAGTCTGAAATTTGCAACACAAACAAATATGATATCGAGTACAGAGCCTGACTCACTAAATGGTGCAAAATAATTGCAAAAGAAGTGATGTGAACACAATTAGTACCCATCCGACTTAGCTCAATTACAACTAGAAAGTATTGGATCTGCTTTCACTCAAAGTTTGCTCAACTGGTTCCAATTAGTATTCATCCATGGGCTCGGCGAACACAATCAGATCAGATCAAAATTAGCCTAACCTAAACTCGGGCTGCCTTAAAAGAACCCATTCTCCCATCTTTTCTTTCTGTTTTATCATTAAATTTACAACTCTTAAAATCTTGGATTTATTTGTCTTGTTTAAAGGAAAATGTGTTTTGTTGTAGTCGTTGCGACACAAACTATTGCCATCTTGGCACTTATTTGAACCCTCCATCTATCAGTCCGTGCAAGGTAGAGGTTGTTCGCTTCTAAAACATTAAAAACTGCCGCAGAGAAGACTGGTAATTCACAATCGGCACGCCACAAAACGAAAACACGGACATCAATTTTCCTAATTTGACATCTTAGCAATGATAAATATTAATTTGGCTGCATTCTTGATGACAAGAAACAAAGATAAAGCTTCGATTACTTCAAGGCGAAGGAGAAGGCTGCAGCGCCTTACCGTCTGCGGAGTCGGTGGCGGTCTGTGTGAGCTGCATCAACGTGTAGACCTCGAAGGCGTTGATGATGGGCGGGAGGGTGGAGTCGCTCGTCGCGTTGAGCACGTATTGATACTCAAAATTGGCTTCGAATGGCTCAGAGTCGTATTGGCAATCAGCCGAGAGGTAAAGCGGGGTATACCCACTAACCCAGGACTCGTCATTCCAGATGATGTCGAACACCCTCGTTGCGTTTCCCGTCAGATTCTGGGGTTCGGCGAAGTGCAGAATGGTGTAAAGCTTGTCGTCGGGGGAGACGGAGTCCCAGGCGAAGGCTAGCTGCGAGCCACTGGCCGGAGTCACCGCCGTCTGCATCACAGCGGACGGCGGCTCGAACGGATCGAACCTGTTGTCCACGGTCGAGTTGGTGGACAAGGTGAGCCAGGAGGGATCGTTGTAGGGGTTCCAAACGCGATCGTAAGGGTCGATCGGGAACCTGTTCATGATATCTCTCAGCATAGCAGACATGAAAAATATGAAATGAAATAAATTGTAGTTTTGGGTCGGGGGCCCAACTAAGTTGTTTTGGGTCAATTGGTCCATGGCCCTTTTCACATAACGGACATGAGACATCAATATCTTTGTTGGGGTTACTCCAGCTTACAGGATTTTTATCCCATCATGTGCAGACACGGTTTTCAAGGGGAGCATATATAGGAAAACATACTTTCAATTATTAAATGGATTGATAGAAGGGCGATTTCTTAGAAAATATTCTCATTTTATTATTTTTAATATTATTTATTTTTCTTTTTGGTTTTTTTTTTTCTAAATAGTATTTTTAATTCAAAAAACACTTTTTTCCTCTAAAAAAAAGTTGAATGTATTTTCTTTTTCAGTCATTAGAGTGTTTTGATCATCGTAATAAAAATACTATTAAAGTATATTTAAAAATACTATAAATGAATCAAATGGAATCGAAACATACTAAAAATCATTTGATACCAAGATTTGGATAGACATTTATAATAATTCAATAATAATATCACCTAAATAGTAATTAGAAATTAATTTATTGTAATATTTTAGCCGCCATAGTAAAGAAAATATATTAAGAAAACTTGCTACAATGTTCTGGCCATCATAATAAAAATACTACAAGATATTTTTTTTTTGTAAAAAAAATATATCAAATGAGGCTTCCAACAATCAACCTTTGGTGACTTTGGTTTCGTATACCACCATCAAATCAAACCAATGTTTAAGATAAAAAATACTATAAAACTTACATGAAAATATTATAAATGATCCAAATAAAAATTTAACCTCGATTAGATCAATTATAAACCTAAAAATATAATTTTATAATGAGTTATGATATGTACAATATACTTACATGTTTTTCAATAACGTTTATAGTGTTTTTAGTATCTCAATAAAAATATTATAAATGAGTCAAATAAAAAAATACTGTAACAATTCAAAAAAATAAAAATAAAAAGCCGAAATTTTTGACGAAAATAGTTGGTGAAGAATATTTTGAATATTTTTTTGAATCAAGGATCCTATTTGGGAAAATCCAAAAAAAAAAAAGACGTTATTTAGAAAAAAGAAAAAAAAAATGAAGACCTCTTCAAAGAAAAATCGCCATTCACAGAAACAAAATAAAGAACTTTTATGTTTCGCTGACCTCACGGTGTCGGATGCTCCGAAGTTGCGCCGAGTGACGAGAACCACAGACTGCAAAGCATTCACGTATTCCCCGTAAAGACCGTTCCTGAGTGGCCTCAGCTCCAACGAAGATATAAAAGGAGTTCCACCTCCGGTGTTAACCAAACAAACCGATGTGGAATTGGCAGTAGCAAGACTCAGAGCCTCGGCCGTATAGATAGCAGATGGATCGGAGATGGTCATCGTCTTCCAATGATCGACTCCGATGTGAAGGTCAAATTGTATTAGGCTATTCTTGGCGTCGTAGTTTCCGTACATGAAAGTTGCTCTGACAAGATACGTAGTGTTACGAAGCACAGGCTTTAAGGTGTAGCAATTCCGGAGTCCATCAGGAAAGCTTCTGAGATTGAGTTGTTGCGTTGGAAGAGAGGAGTTTATGTAGTTTGATTGGATGTCGAAATCTGATCCCACGTCGATAAATCGGTCATCGGAGACGTATGTTATATTTGTACTATGATCGACGTAATCAGATTTGGAATTGCCACAGTCGATGCTTATAAAGCCAGCTAAAAAGAAAAGAATCACAACGATTAATTGCAATCAGTTCAGTATTGTTTAATACCACGAGCATGATATTATATCTATATTTCTCCCTTTACTATAAACTAATTATCTAAAAAATGAAAGGCGATCGCCGTGAGCGCTGACCTTGCGGCGACTGGCCATGAGCAGCAGGAATGGCGGCGGCGATGGCAAAGAAAAGAGCAACCAAGCACGAAGATGATGATGCCATGTTCCAAGTTCCAAGTGTCGTTGCTGAGTTCTATCGGTGATTTATATTCGGTGGTGGAGGCGTTCGTTAACGTAAGCACATCGCAATCAAAAGAGAAAAAAACCTCGTTAGTTGTAGCTACGTGAGCACATCGCAATCCAAACAGTTCACGTTTTATCGCAACGCGAGCACGTGGTTTGTCCACGTGTATACAGTGACTGGGTCCCGCTTTGCACGGATTCTTTGTAAGAGCCGCACTGGCTGAGAGCGTGCTCCTCATTTCTTATCCGACACCCAATCCGGTCAACCCTAAATCATGTAATCGCGTCAACGGTGGAATGGTCAACTGGGAAGATGACCTGCTTTGTCGACGCAAGACTTGTAGGAAATTAAATAGAAAGGAAAATTACTTTTCTGAGATAGCAAATTTTTTATTATTTTCTTACGACCTCGTATGAGAATCACTTCACCTAAATATATAAACCAAAAGTCATATATATCAACATGTGATTATTATTATTGATTGAAAATATAAGATCAGCTAATCATCATTTGTCAAGTCAATATCATATCTGATCTCTTATCCATAAGGGCTGGGTCCAAAAGACAGCTCGATTCAATTTTGGAGCTGTCAAACTATTAAGCTTTTGAGTTACGGAGATGCTTCTTAGAAAGATCAAAAATTAGTTCAGATCAATTACGAATCAGCTCCATTATGAAATATCCATAGGAATATTTCAAAAAAAAAAAGGGACAATAAAGATCAGTTATGAATCAGCTCTCACAGAAGAATTAAAACATTATAAAAAAGATCAAGGGACAATAAGGAACAATTTTTCTAACAGTTTGTTGCAGACACAAAACTTCACCATACACAAATGTGGCACAGTATCACAGAGACAGTGCAGAGACCAAACTTATTACATGATGTATTGATGTTCTAATCCATTAAAACGGAGATATCTGCGGTCCGGTGGGTTTTCAGATTACAGCATATTGTTTCATTGTTACCTAAAAGAGATACAGTAGTGCATAGATTACACAACACCAAATTCTATATTTATTCCGATGCAGAGATCCCCAGGAGGAACATCCTATTTTGTGGCAGTACGAGTGCCAACGACAGTTACAAGCACTACATCTTACCTTAACGTGCACAACATACACGAACAGAGACAACTGCGATAAGTTTCATCTGATAGAAGGAACAGTTGGTCCCAGCAAGCTCGCCCCCATCTCAGACGAAATTTCTCGGCTCATGTTAAATCCTTCAATATATATGATATCGCTCCTGTCAGAGGCAATCTCTGGCTTCAAGCAGCTCTTCAGCTGCGTCACTACTTCAAACATTGTCGGCCTCTGGCTGCCTGGATCTGCGGTGCACCTGAGAGCTAGATCCAGGATCTTCCACGCAGAAGTGGCATCATATTCTCCTTGCAGAGTTTCATCCATGATTTCTTCTATGCAACCCCGAGACAGACTTGTGGCAATCAACTTAACAATGTGAACATTTCCTGGACCGGGCACGATCGGAGGTCTGCCGGTGATCAGCTCCAGGAGAACTACACCAAAGCTGTACACATCACTCTTCTCGGTGAGCTGGTAGTTTTGATGGTACCTAATGAAACATAAACATGATACTCATTGGTCAGTTGTAATCCATAATGTATTAGTTATCCTCTATGGTCGAGCACACTAATGCATAATAAATGTCTGCCTTTTGTCAACTAAAGGTTCAAAACACTCCAAGAAGAGAATCAAATTGCCATCTTGGTTAACCAGAAAAATGGAGATCCAGTTCAAGGCCAAGGAGTAGTAATTTGAAGTTATGGCAAGGAAATGAATCCTACTATGTTGCTTTGGCAATTGAACTGACTATTCCTCAAACCTGCAAACTGGATCTGGGAATTAAAACATGGCAGCTCAGGAAGTCATAGATCAAGAATTCTGCTATCTGACATTCAAAGATCTCCACATATCCATGTTGATCATAGTGTTTGAAATATTAAATTTAAGAAAAAAAAAACCATATTTAGTTCAAAGTTCAAACCAAATACTGATGTCTCATCCAAGTCCAATAGGTCAGCTGCATCAAGTCAAACTAGTATCATAATATATCTAGAATTATGAATGTATAGCAAAAGAACATATTGAGGACATAAAACCTAAGTATGAAGAGATCGTAATACCCCCAACTAATCTTACCTTTGAAAAATGATGATGGGTTAGATTAGCATGGACCGATTTTATAGGGTAACTACTAAAAATTTAGCATGAAGTATATTCGGTTACATAGTTAAAGTTTAATTCTTTTTAGATCACTATACCAGTGGGCCTATTAGATTGGGTGGTGACAGGAAGACATACTAAGATAAATGAATTCATTTTCCATCTTATTTTTCTGCACATTGTCGCTTCTACATTGAGATGTATGAATAAATTGTTTATAAATAATTTAGAGTGGGGTAAAAAGAGTGTAGAAAACATACTCGGGATCAATATATCCAGGGGTGCCAACCACTGTCCCTGTGGACACATAGGTTTGCTCATCGCTATGGAAAGATTTGGATAACCCAAAGTCCCCTATTTTAGCCTCTAGTTCTTCGCTCAAGAGAATGTTGCTGCTCTTGACATCTCTATGGATTATTGGAGGCTTGCATCCTTTGTGCAAATAATCCAGCCCTGTCATATAAAATAGAGATTAAGTAATTATACCAAACGCAAGTACACAGACAAAAGATTCTCCAAAACCTTGTGCAGCATCCAGTGCAATTTGAAGCCGCTGTCCCCAACTCAAGACTTTGGCACAACCAGCCTTAACTGTGATGATTATAAGTTAGAAAACCCATGGAGACAACTTTAACAAAATATCAGCAGGAAATATCTGTGGAGAAGTTACTTCTTAAACTCATAGTTACTTGCTGCATAATTTCTAAGATACCTCCCTCAACTGATGTGTTTCAAGCAATGAGCCAAGAGATATATTAATCTTCAACAGTCTGGTATACCCTATGTCCCTATCAGCCCCTTAAAAAAAATGATTCCAAGTATTTTACCCCTTCCTAATCAAGAAAAGTTGAACATTCGACTTCAAATTTAACTAACTT